GGGGGGGGGTTACTTGTGATGAGGGATAAGGGGATACAGGAGAACGGCGGCTTGAGTTAATTTGGAGGTAAATTTACTTGTCATTTTTAAATAAGGCACGTCGATACCAGAGATAAAAGATCTAACACCTAGAATTATCGGATAAGGGGAAAAAACCCAAAAAACTCGAAGGTCTTGTGCGCAAGTTGCGCACATTAAAGATTCATTGGTTGTCCAAAATCGATAAGAGTAGGCCTCGGCCACTACCCAGGCAAAATTCAAACTGTCTTATCAAACTGAAAACGTTTAATTTAAAGTGTCCCGCGCGCTTATATGACCTTAATTATTATTCAGTTCCAAGCGCCATAAAACACTGACCTAAAAAAAAAGAAGAAGAAAGAAATTGGAGGCCAGAGTGTGTGACGTAAGCCCAGGTCCCTCACCTACGTGGATCCTCTAATGCTGACTTTTTCCTTTTGTTGGGTTTTTCACGATCGCGATCCCTGAAGCTACACATCACTGTGGCCTGGGCGGAGTGTTGGCCGACAGGAGGGAAGGAATGTTTTTGTACCAAGCGTTTGTTGATTGTTGTTGAATGTTGCAACAAGCCTAAGGGTCGTGATGGTTTGGATTACTGTACAATTATTGGGCTGAGCATACCTTGCTTTGGAAAACTATCAGAGCCGCGCACTTTCGAGAAAAAAACCCAACAACAACCAACAACAACACTATCAAAGCCGCGCTCAATCCAATAGTTCTCGATTGAGACAGAACAGAGTTGTTTCAGGGTCACCGAATGCTGAAAGGGTCATCGACAATATTACATAATTATGATATTACCCAGAATACATGTAGTACTCATGAACTCTGAACGACCACCATCATCTCGATATCTAGATCTACTAGTATTATTATATGTACTATCACCACCACAACCACCACCACCATTATTACTTGTAAAACAACCCCAGCAACTGCAGCCTATACCATAAGAAAAAGTCTAAATATCACAAAGATGTAGTACTCACGAATTCTCAACAACCATCATCATTTCGATATATCTAGATCTGTAGCCTACTGTCACCACCACCACCACCACCACAGTCACAGCCACCATTATTAAAACAACCCCAACGACTACAGGCTATGTCATTGGTCTTAGTATAAATAATTACTTACATTTCTCACGGATTCTCAACAACGACCATCAACTCGATATCTTTTTCTACTGGTACTATTACATGTACTATCTCCACCACCACCTCAGCCAAAGCCCCCATTATCAAAACAACCCCAACAACTGCAGCTTATATCATTGGTCATACTATGAATAATTACTTACAGGTACGGTACATCATGTAGTACTCACGAGTCCTCAATAACCATAATAATAATAATAATAATAATAATAATAATAAC